TGTGTGTGTGTGTGTGTGTGTGTGTGTGTGTGTGTGTGTGGGTGTGTGTGTGAGTGAGTATGTGTAAGTGGAATATGAGTCCAGCATTCCTGCAGAGTTGGTCCTGGAAAGATCCCTGTGGAGACGCAGGAATCTCACTCTCTAATGGAGCTGGCAGAGGGAGCAGCTCTCTGGGATGGGAGAGAGAAGAGAGTGGCTTTTTTATTTTTCCTGTGCTGCGGTGAATGCAGGACTGCGGTTTCACAGAAGGAAAAAGAAAGGACGGAGACGACGGAAAGAAAAGCAAAACAACGCTTGAGGAAACATGCGAGATCTTGCAGCCTGGAAATGCCAGGGGTTTACTGGAAGACAGAAAGAAACGCTGAAGTTAAAAGTACAAGAATGTGTGATTGGAGGAGGAGAGAGGAACGTTGCTTGATGAGATGCTGGCGGCGTCAGAACTGCCGTTTTAGTGCCCAGAAATGCTGCCTAGGTCTTCAGATTCTGTCACTGTCCGCAAGGCCTGTTCTGGTTGGGGTCGCGCTGAAGACAACAGCACGAGGTTCAAATGAGTTCTGCAAAAAGTGAAGGAGAAAAAAGACAAGGGGAATGGGGGTGGAAGGAAAGAGAGGGAAAGTTGGAGAGTTGGGATGAGTGATGGTGAGAGGAAATGTGAAAAAGTGAGTGAGAGAACTAGAGAAAGGGGCGACGGGGGAGAAAGAGAGAGAGAAAAAGCAGGAGAAAAAGGGTGGAGGTCCAAACAGACCCGTTTCTGAGCACAAAGGAAATGAGGCAGAAAAGAAAGGGAAAAAATGGCCAAAAAGTGAAGGTAAGGAATGAGAGAGCGAGAAAAAGAACGATTACGAGGGAGAAACCGAAGAGAGTGTTGAAAGAAGCGAACGCCACTGGAATGGTGAGAAAGGAAAAGATACGGTCAGTTTGTGAATACTGATATGACGGTTTGAACAGGAAATTGACCGTAACCCTCAGCGCTCTTTTAATGAGGCCATGCTTCTGGTTTGGTTTATTCTTGTTCATATGAAATATGAGACATACCAGATATCCACAAAACACAATAATCAAAGAACTGTAAGAAATATGAGATGTCTTCATGTGTTTAGACTGTGAAATCCAACAACACAAGAGCTAAAAAGAGTGAGAGAGGACAGAGGAAGAGAATAGGGACTGTCTGTGCTGAAAATAGGGAATCAAATATGAAAAACACATTTTCAACAAGACCTCCACCCATCTCAAGTGACGTGAGAGACTCACTAAAAAATGTGTGGATCACATTTCTCACCAAAATCCGCAGAAAAAATTATACTCTGAGCAAAAAGGAAGTGAAGCCTATTTTTAGCATCATTAAAGTTTGTATGAATTATGACAACTTATTCTCATTACTATAAAGAGAATTATAAACAATACATAAAATATTGTAATCAAATTATAATATAGAATCTCATATACATATATTAAATAATACATTTATATAAACAATTTTTAAAAACAATATTTTAATAAAATTGTATTTAAACAAAAAATCAAAATTGTAATTAAAATATATAAAATAGTTTTTGCTCATTTTATACTCATGTATACACACTAAATATTTAAGTTATATAATACAAATAATTTTATAAATGTAATATCAATTTTAATAAGTTTATTATTTAAATTAAAATTGTATTATTAAATACAATTACATTTGTTGACATCTTATTCCTATAAAGAGAATATTATAAAAATGCATTAAAATATTAAAATAACATTTAATAGTATAATATATATTAATATTTTATATCAATTGGTTGATATATAAAATTATACCAACAGAAATGTAATGTCAATAATTAGTTATGAAATAAATCTTTAAATAATATTTAAAAATGCAAAAAAAAATCTATTTCTAATTACTAATACTATTGAAATCATCCAAACAACATGATTTTTGTGCATTAAAATCATTATAAAGGAAATACAAAAAGTACACAAACATTAACATTACATGTAAATTTACTATATCTTTCTTGGGGTGTGAAATATATATGATTTTGACATTTCTTGACCGTTTGTGTGAGAGTACTTTACAGTACATACTTTCACTGCTCCTTGAAAATTTGTGTGATTTTTAAAAGCCTTCAAATGTAAATATGCTTGCCTGTGTGACTGAGCAATGACATCTGTTCAAGTTAAAGTTTATTTTTTTTCCTTTACGCTCAAGACCATATGTTCATGGTGAGTGGAGACAGCAGTGTCTGTGATCTAGTGCTGTAGTTTTGGGACCAGTGAGCACGTGGTCTCATCTATCATGCTTGTGAAGGTAGGTATGCGTATATTTCACAAAGAGTTCTGCTCTCTGAGTGCACTGCTTTGAGACTAATCCTAAACACGGATCCAAGAACAAGCCTCGCGCTCAGGACACAGAAAGTCCTATTAGTTGTGTTTACTGCGAGCATAAATCTGAACATTTGAGAAGGATAGCAGAACTAGCAGATCTTAAATTGTTTTTTAACTATCATATGCTGCCATAAAGTCATGCTGGAATGACCATATTTATGAGACGAATGCACAAGAACGCTACCACAATGCCATAATTACCAGTGGGAAACTCTGCAGCAAGAAAAACCCTTAGTGATAATAACTTATAAATATAACTATAGGCTTTCTTAACTTAAGGGGTCTCGTGCAACTGGGCACTTTCTAATATTCTGATTACATGCTCACAACATGCTGCTGTGAGCATGTAAGAAATATTGCTGCTGCAAATATAACACATGAAATAACCCCATATAGCATACATGAATCACCTCGTAGCAGATCTATACAGGTGGAGCTGGGGAAGGTGGAGGGTTTCTGAAGTAAGCTGCAGCTGCTACGGCAAGCACTAGTCATATATTTGAATGTTGAGCAGCGAGCTCATTGGCTACCGATACAGGAGAGAACCAATCAGCTGTGCCATGTGATAATGATGTCATTAGGTCAGACTGAGTTAGACCTATCGGACTGCGCCATCTAGAGTTTCATGCCAGAACTCTGTATTTTTAAGAATAGAAATAAACCTTTGCCAGGAAAAATTGTGCACAAATCCGTGTTGACGAGTGCTTGTGGGAGGGAGTTCAAAGACATTTTTAATCGCTCATAACAAAGTTGCACAGACACTTGACAAGGATAAAACTTTCTAGTGTATTTGTGTCGAGCACCTATGTTCAGGCACACTATCAAATGGAGTATACCTTGAAAGGATATGCACTGAGCTGAACATTCGCCAAGCGAATGAGTCAAAACTGAGGTATACTTTGGGCTTTACACTCCTGATTCTTTTGCTCTTCATTTTGCATTAAAAGTTAAAAGTTTATGTGGTCCGAGAGGAAATATGGCACATTTCAGATCATATACTTCCATGGGGACCTATGTCTGCCAAGGATCTGCCGTTGAGGTGGATAGGAATGCTAACGGATAGCTTTCTCTCTGTATTAAGGTGCGGTCACATTTACTGTTGCTTGGAAAAACTTTGTGGGTGAAATACTGTCATTCTCATAGAAATCTGCAAGATCAGTTGCGCTTGAGGGCAAAAAAAGTTAATGTTAAAGCTGGTCAGGTCGCAGTGACCAATCAAAAGCTGCTTGGTTTGAAAGTAAGTTCAGTGTGAGCAGTGCTTCAAACACCTCTATGCTATTGACAATGGACCTTTTTGCACACAAAATTTTGCTAATGTGACACACCTTTACAGACCTCCTTGGTTCATACGTAGTTTGCAACAACATTCACAGAAGATGAAACCTGGGAAAGGGGAAACCACAAGTTCACCACAGCTTTCAAGCTTGGAAAATTTTTGAAATACTGTTTAAAAATGCGGTGTAGTTACAGGTCACTGGGTTCGTTTCAAATATTCTGCCTATTTCAGTGCTGACACATCTGATTCAAGTCCTCTAGTCACTGGGTACTTTATTAATCGAAAGTTTGTTCAGCTGTGTTGTTGATGGAGAGAACACATGTGCGGTTTTAGCGTGCAGAAATGATGTTTGTTGAAATGGACTGACATGGTCCGAAGCTGCTAGTGTGACTTCAGGACAGAATGGGTGAATGTCTACCTGGGAACACTAGGAGGGACTCGTTTGGGGCGGCTGGTAGTGTTCGTGGTGTCTATGCTGTTGGAGACTGGTGGGGCAGGAGCTTCCAAGTGAATTGGTAGAGAAGGAGCAGGAGGAGCAGGATGCTTTTTAGGGACACTATAACCTGGAGGAGACCTGAGAGAGAGAAAGAGAGAGAGAGAGGCGCATTAGCTGTTTGGGTGGGCCATAACATTTCCACTACCAGTCATTTCCATTTGCAGTCATTTGTGGTTACTGGATATGGATTTTAAAGAACCATTTTGATTCAGAATGATTCGCTAATAAATTATTCAGACTGGTTTGTGAACTGGTTCAACGATTCTTTGAACAGAACCGCCCCCCAAAGAAAGACTTGTTTGCATCAGACAACACTAGTGCTTTTACTCTACACAAAAAAAATCTATGACTTTCAATTTGTTATTAATGTCAATCAGTTTTTCCTAGGCCTGGAAAACACAGTGAAAATTCCATGATATTTCCTGGAATCCTGGTGATTCAGTCCACGTGAGTGCCAATGGTCCGCTATTAATTATGTGCCGGAGTACTGATTAAATTCTAAGGGTCAAGTAAAAAACAGCACCACTAGATGAGGAGGAGTGATGATGAAGACAACTTGAACAGAAAGTATAGGGCTGAGGTACCTTCGGCGAAGAGAGCCACTATGGAGCCAGGAGTTATCTACTGGGGGTGGCAACGGGGTGGAGATTGTAGAGGTGGAAATGTCAGTGATGATGTTTAGAGCCTCCTTCAGGGCAGTGTGAGTACGCAGCACCTCCTCTCTGCGCAGGGCCTGTTCAGGAGACTCGTCCATCAGAGAGTACTGATCTCCTGAGGAGTACAACTGAGCCAGCAACTCGGAGTGGATAAACTCCTCTACCTATGGGTGGAGAACATAGAAATGTAGAAAAAAGTTTAACAAACAAAAAATAAACAGGACTTCAGACAAAAATGATATAAACTGAGAGCAAACGGTCATATCTGTTGCCTTGAAAAAGGTGTTTTATTCTGAATTAAGATGGTCTGTACCCCTCTCATGGCGTCTGTCATGTTGATATCACATGACTAGCTGATACTACTCAACTACTCACACATCATCCACAACAATATGTGTAAAGACTTTATATTGATAGCGTTAGTGATAACTTTATTGGCATCAACACCAAGGAATGATAACATTGTGTTTATTATAAGCATGCGCTGCTGTTAATTTCGTCTGGCTCTTTAAATTTTCGACTCTTTAAAGTCAAGTGAATCTTGCAGTTAAATGTTTTTATTGTTCATCAGCTAGAAAAAAAAATTGTTGTGAAAAGGTTGTTCCTCTGTTGTTATTGTTATAGTTGTGTGGACTTAAAACTATAATTAAAACTTATAAAGTTATCCTTTTAGTCCTTGGTGTGAATGGTCCTTAAAGGGATAGTTCACCCAAAAATGAAAATTTGATGTTTACCGCCACCTATCTCTCAAATGGACCATTGACACTATCTGCAATCTCAATTAGGAGTGTCAATGGTCCACTTGAGAGCTAGGTGGCGGTAATGCACTTATAAGTCTGCGATCCGCCGTAAAGCAAGAAGAAGAAGAAGAAGACGCCCCATTATAAGACTGACAGACTGCAACGGTTTGTGTTAAAAAAATCTCCATTTGTGTTCTACTGAAGAAACAAAGTCACCTACATCTTGGATGCCCTGGAGGTAAGCAGATAAACATCAAATTTTCATTTTTGGGTGAACTATCCCTTTAAGTCAATACAAAACCACAGTGAAACTAAATATTATGGAATTGTTTTTTAAACATAAAATGAATTGGGCCAAAAAGATGGTCTAATTAATTACACTGAAAACCAGACATTTTAGCATGGTGTCAAAACACTGTCAGGTTCAAAACAATATTTTGAAATATGCCAATATATTTGCGCAATACTGCCTTAAAATATGATTTTCTTTCTGAGCGAAGGTCTGAGAATTACACATTTTCAAACTAACCCAACCTAGATTTTGAATACTATTTCTTTTTACAATGCAAGTGCAAAACAGTTTTGCACTGTATATACTTTAAGTATATACTTTAAATGTATACATTACTATACTTAGATATTTGAAAACTGTCTCAGTTTTCAGTTAATAATTTATAGTGTATGGAAGTATAATTTTATTACATCTTAAGGTATACTAACTATAAAATTAACACAAAAAAAAAGCTATAAAATTGTACAGTACATTGGTTGCAATGATTAATTAATAATCTAATAATGTAATAAATACTGTAAATAAAACACTAATGTAAAACAAATGTACCTGCTGGGGAGACCTAATGTCAACATGATATGGTTTATTTTTATAGTATACAAATGTATGAATAAATACATATCTCTGCATCTTATATAAAAAGCTCTACTGGTTTAATTGTTGTATGCAAATCTATTTGATTTCAATTCATTGTTTTCCTTCTGTATCAGTGTTAGATGCAGAGGGCACAGACGTTGTTGATGACAAGGTGCATGATGGTCTTGGGCATCAGGTCGCGGATGCTTTTGTAGACGATGCTCATGTATGAGTCAACCAGGTTGCGGATGGTCTCGACCTGACGTTCTAGCTGAGGGTCCATGGAGAAGCTCTCCGCCTGAGCTGAACCCTCTCCATCCACCTGAGCAATCAGAAAAAAGACAGATGAAGATGTGGGCAAATCTGGACAGGAAAGGTACAGTCAACATTGAGGGATGACAAAGATGTTTCAGAGGGCAATGAGTGCACATACATAAAGAGAACCAAGCTGGAAAAGAGATGTTGGGGGGGTGCAAGGAAAAAGGAAAGAAGCAAGGAAAAAACTAGCTTTACTTTAGTGACTGTCGGAGGGGGTGTGGTAGACTTCTGTCAGAGCGAATTATGGGGAACCCTGACAGAACTGCGACATCACTCGACATGTTGCTCCAAAGCATACATAAAGACAGAAAAAGGGGGATGGAGGGGAGCGTGAAGAAAAAAGAGGCAAGGGAGCTGATTAGAAACAGAGCTCAAAGCCCCCTCCTTCGCTGATCCTCCATGGTGTGACACAAGAGCTGAGGAATGCAGCAGAGCTCCTGACCCCAGAGCACAGCCACCATGAAGCCTGCAGCCGTAGAGTCAAACACACACACACACACAGAGAAACACTACAGGAGCGAGAGTTATCCAAACTACAGTGCACAGTTATTAGAAGGCCTAGATGGAATTGGCAAACTTTTCATGCACTGATTTTAGGGCAAAATCTGTAGAATTCTGTGCAATAAAATGTGAAATGTGTTAAACATTTATGAGCGCCAGGCGCTCCAGTTCTGCGGGAATCTGTGAAGGTTTCTGCAACGCTCTGTGTGCATGGATTCCATGTGGGCCTGGTTATTATGTGAACGTATAATCTCTTTATGTTTCTTAGAACACTGCAGCTTGTGCAGACTGGTGCACATTAAAAATAAAAGTTCTTCAATGGTTCCTCAACTCACCCTCATCTTGTTCAAAACTTCTTTTGGGTTCATCTTCGAAACACAAATGAAGATATTTTTCTCCCCGGAAAATTAATTCCACCAAAAATTTGACTCTTCAGAAAGTCCATAAAGACATCAGTAAAGTAATCCATATGAAAGGAGCAGTTTAATCAAAGTCTTCTGAAGAGACATGATAGCTTTATATGATGAATAGATTTAATTTACACATAAACATCGATCAACACACTTACATACAGCACATCAAATATGGTCAACAAAAGCTCAAACGTGCTTGCTTGACACACAAGTACATTTGAGCTACTGTTTCCCATATTTTATGTGCTCTATGTCTTCATATGGATTTCTTTTATAATGTCTTCATGAACTTTTTGAATCATCAAGGTTTTGGTGGAATGGATTTTCAATGAAAGAAAGGATATCTCTCAGATTTCGTAAAAAATATATTTATTTGCGTTCTGAAGATGAAAAGATCTTATTGTCTTGATACGACATAAGGCTGAGTAATTGATGACATAATTTTCATTCACTCAGGTTCAGTAAAGGGTTCTTGAATTGTTTTATATTTGATTCTTTGGAGATTGCCAAAAGCTGATACTTTTTATAGGTTCTTCAGATCAGCATATTTGGTTTCTGATTCAATAATTCACTCAAAAGTGAACATTCTGTCATCATTTAGATCCTCGTGTTGTTTCAAACCCCTGTGGCTTTCGTACTTCTATGGAACATAAAAGAAAACATTAGGCATAATGTTCATGCTGCTCTTTTACATGCAATAAAAATGAATGAAAGTGCAAAAAAGAACAGAAAAGCATCATAAAATTTCTCCATGAGTTGTGCACTAGTTCAAGTCTTAAGAAACCATAAGACGTGTGTGAGAAACAGACTGAAATCATTGTTATATGCTAGAATCTCATATTCATGTCTCGTAACCATTCGCCTTGAAATGTGAATATGTGTAAATGCAAATTACGTTTGAGAGCTTTGGTGCCAAAAAAAAAGGAAAAAACACAAAAAAAGACAAGACGAGACAAGAGCTGCACCCGAAATCGCATATACTGTCTGAGTAGCTACATTTGATGAGGAACAAATTTCGTGACCATTTAAAAAGTGTGTGCTATATAGCAGGGGATAGTAAAGTGTCCATCAGATGTGCACTTCAACAGTAGTAGGTCATCCAGGTGCTATTCGCCTACTGTTTTAGAAATAGTATGAATTTGTACATATTACTCACTTCACATACATTTTTTTGTCTATATAGGTGGGAAATAGGCATATTTGGACACAGGATTGGAAAATTACATCATATGGACTACTTCTATTGTTCTTTTTTAGAGTGTTTTTTGGTCTAACCTGCTTTCATTGTATGAAAAAGTGCAGCGTGAACTTTCTTCAGAACTTCTCCTTTTGTGTTCCACGAAAGAACGAAAGTCAAAAAAAATGTGGCATTTTTAAACTATTCTTTTACAGCACCAGCACATGGTGTTGGTTTTGTAAAGAAGTAGGGAATAAAAGTTCTGAGTGGAGCTTATAAAGATCCGCATAACATCCGGCTATAAAGCCCTTTTTGGTTTAAACTGAAACCTTTATTTTGATGTTTTAGGCCGCAGGGTTTAGCATACAGGTACAGAAGCCAGTGGGTTCCTTTGCTTACTGTGGTTTTCTCTGGGTAAACCCCAGCTCGCAGCAAAGAGGCTTTCCAGCTGTCCACCTCGTCCTGAGTGTCACAGGCCAGCTCCAGATGCCTGTAGTCCTTATACACGTTCCTAAAGCGGAAAATAATCTGTCGTTAGCCGGTTCCCATGGCAGCACATACACTCTCACACAAACAAGTGCGGCAAACCCTCTCTCGCTCGCTCGCACATATCATCTGTCCAAAACCACAAACCCCAGACCACCCCTTCAGCCCTGTCTGACCTGAATATCCATTCACTCTCTCTGATATGATTTCTAATCTGATTCTTTTTTTTTTTCTCCAGATTTTGTCCTACCTCACCTTTTTTATCCATCGTTCCCATTCCCATCTTTTACTTTCGTCTCATATTTTTTTTTACCCAGTCTCTCTCCCTGTTTTTTTTTCACTCAGAGAGAGGCCCGTCCCTCTCCATCTGTTCCACATTCCCCCTAATTATTCTGTTGTTCCTCTCCTCCTTTTGTTTCCCTCTCATTTCTCTCTCTTTTTGTGGCTATTGTTTCTCTTTGTTGTGCATGTGGGGTAAGAGGCTTAAAGCATAACGTACAACATGTTTTAGATTTAGTCTACGGCTGATAAGAACACGGCTACAAATAAGTGACCTAAGCCTGGGGTGAAGTCGGACACACGTACACACTGAAACTAACCACACACTGAAGCAAACACATTCTCTCACATGCTTCGATCTCATAAAACGCAGCTACAAAACACTGTTTTTACAATCGCAGATATGACTCAGTGCTACTAATTGCTGTAACTGAGAAATCATTTCTTATAGTCGCTTGCGTAATGACCTAGTCTGAAAGCACACGTCAAGCGATACACTGATCCAAGCGTCCAAACATCATGTGCTTTGCAGACCCTCCTAATAAGGTGTAATGTGTGGAATATTGTTTTGCGGTTAAACGATTCATAATTCATTGGTAGTTCATGATATTTATGACAGGATAACTGCGGCGCTTGTGAATGTAACTTTATTTGCCATTCCAAACCCACAAAGTACGGCTCTGACTTTTAAAAGATTTAGACTCAAAAACTGTATGCACAAAATCAACAAAAGAATCTGTGCGCATCCAAAAATAATATTTGGCTGTTTCTGGGGCTTATTATGGATTTTTTTTTCTCAAACCGAAGCTTAGATCATGTCCCAACGTCTTAGATGCATGCAATGTAATTTCAGCATTATTAATTTACTATTATAGTATTTTTTTTAATTAGCTTTTAGTTTTATATTTATATTATTTAGTTTGTTTATTAATTTTATGTACTTTTGTCATTTTATTAAGCTTTTTTAAGTTTTCATTTTAGTTTTAGTCATTTTTATTCATTTTTTAATAATTCTATTTAATTTTAATCATTATTTATATTTATATAGTTTTAGTTTTAGTAATTTCAATACTTTACATTTTTATTTCAGTTAGTTGCTGTAACGTTTAGTCCAAGGAAGATGAAGAGGGTTCAGAAACAGGTTAAATAAAACACGGTTAATTAAAGGAAACAAAGGAAGGTAATCTAAATAACAAGTCAATCTACAAAACAGTGTACAGAGCACAAACAATACCAGGCAATGAACAAACTCAACAGAGGGACTTAAATGCACAGACCTCAGGCCTTTAGCATGAAGCGAGATGAACAAACTCAGAGTTGCAGAGTAAGTTTTGAGTTGACAAAACCTGACAAACCCAACCCGGTTTAGATCAGGATCAGCTGTTGCACAACGCTCGGTATAAATGTTCTCTGTCAACTCAGGTTTGATCTGGAGTTTGTGAGGCACCTGAAAGTGTGACACGTGCTGCTAACAGCCAGTCACACGGAACATGGAAAGCATCGGTTTGATTGACTTCTCGCGAGAGTCAGCGCAATTCACTTCTCTGTTGAAGAGATTGTTATGAAATAATACCATGAATTGAAACACAATTGAATTTGTAGTGAGAGATAAAGGGGGGTGGCTTTATTTCGTCAGATATATGTTCCTTTGCTCAGAGCTGATTGGTCCAGCTTTGGTTTGCGATCTCTAACTCAGAATAAAACCTGCTTGGGAGCAGGGTAGCCTTGTGGCGTAAATTACCGTTACCATGGTGACGAACCCCTCTCAAACTAAACACGAACTTACCTGGGTAAAAACTGAAACCGGCTTCGTGATACAGGCCACAGGTGAACGAAATGAGTAATTACACAGACAGAGAATCTAGGTCAAAAGGCAAAACAAGGAAGACAGAACCAAAATGCAATAAAAACATGAAAAAACTAAACCTAAATGTAACAAGTTGCTAAGTCAAATGTATTTTTATTTATTTATTTATTTTTAGTGTAAGTTTTCCTTTTCTTTTTTTATCCAGTATTATATTTTATTTTGGATTTGTTTGTTTTTTTATTTCATTTTAGTTAACTATAATAACACTGAATGTAATTTCAAATGAATGTTATGGGCTAAATACTGTTATGGGTTTGCAAAAACCAAAATTGCATTTACTGTGATGCACTTACAAGTGTCTATGAGGAGAGGTTTCCTTTGTAAATGCATTACTGTAAAAACTACTTTTGTTTGTTTTTACAAACTGATGAGCGGGTCAAAATTATTGTCTGTGGTAATTGTTACAACGTTTCAGATGTCATAGCTTATGTTAAATCCAAAACATTCCTTTAATCACAGTCCTGAGTGAGTCCAGAACCGCACATAACTACTCTCTCCATCACATATGAACCTGGATGTAATGCACACTGATGCAAACTGAGACAAAAAAAGTGGAAGAAAGTGAACAAAAAAGCTCTCTACATTTCTCATAAGTACTTTTCCAATACCATGCCAGACTAGTGTCACCGCTGTGACAAAGCAACTTCTAACTCCTGACATCACCAGTCGCTCTGGGAGTTGGTGGGTGTGTAGGGCACAGTATGAATCATTAGATCATTAAAGTGTGTGTGTGTGTGTGTGTGTGTGTATAAGAGAGCAAGAGAGAAAAAAGGGGATTTTTTGGAGTGCTGGGTGGTATGTTTCTACTGGTGAGCGGGAATGAGTGCGGAGTTTATGAGAGCCTGAATATCTTTATACAAAGTGCTTGAAGTGATGGATGTGTGTGTGTAAGTGTGTGTGTGTGTGGAGTGTGTGAGAGCATCTGATTGATTGTGGTGCAGCCTTGGGTGTGTTTACAATAGTCTGCCATGCTTCTCTCACTGTCAAAGCTGTGTGTGTGTGTGTGTGTGTGTGTGTGTGTGTGTGTGTGTTTCACCGCAGCATACCAGCATCTCTCCAATTAAGCAGCTAATCAATCCCAGACACACCCGCACTTGAAATCGAAAGACGCTGCGCTTCTAGAGACAGAATGTCAGAGACGGAGAGAAAAAGAGAGCAGGGAGGGACACTGAAGTAGAGACTGGCCAGGAATGTTCCAGAAGTGTGTCCTACTGCGCCCCCTGTTCCTGTTGCGCTCTCTGTGAAGTATTAATGTGAAGGTAGAGTGTGTTTATGTTAGAAAATATAAAGGAGTGCATGTGAAATGGAGTTATATGTCCCTGTAGAAGGGCATGTGGATGTGTGTGTAAGTGTATGTGTGCTGTGACCACCAGATGTGACTCCACTGCGCTCTCCTTGAGACAATTTTGGCTACAATTTTGCCCTATGAGACAAGATTTCTTTCATTGCAAGGCAAAATCGACAATCTTGGATCAGTTAGTGTGACATGCTTACTGATGGCCCATTAATTGCCTTTGCAGTGAATCAGAGCCCTCTGACAATGTCAAACACAATTATCATAAAGAATAAAATTATTTTGACTACTGTTCAAACGTTTGGAGTCAGTAGAAAAGAAATTAATACTTCATTCAGCGAGGATGCATTAAAATAACAGTAAAGTCATTTATAATGATACAAAACATTCTATTTCAAATAAATGCTGTTCTTTTGAAAGAATCAAAGAATCCTAAAAAAAGAAGCACAGCTGTTTTAAACATTGATAATAATAAGAAATGTTTCTTGAGCACCAAATCAGCATATTAGATTGATTCTGAAGGATCATGCAGTGCTGGGGAAAGTTTTTGTACTTTTAAAAGTAATGCATTACAATATTGTGTTACTCCATAAGAATGTAACTAACTGCATTACTTAGTAACTCTTTATGAAAAGTAATGCATTACTTTAGCATTACTTTTTGTCACCAGGGCTGGACTTGCTTATTTGTTTTTAATATAAAAAAACCCCACAAGTTTATTTTTGGCAACTGTAAAGGCCCTTTCACACCAAAAGTGAAATTAATCAGTCTCAGACTGAAGGAAGTGCCTCTGCACCTCACTACCAATTATTTGAAAAAGTAACTCAGATATTTCCTTGTAAATTTAAAAGTAATGCGTTACTTTACTAGTTACTTGACAAAAAGTAATCTGATTACGTAACTCGTGTTACCTGTAATGCGTTACACCCAACACTGATTATGCGACACTGAAAACTGAAAATTCAGCTTTGCCATCATAAGAATAAATTACATCTTATAATACAGTATATTCAAATAGAATATAGTTACTCTAAATTGTAATAATATTTCACAAATTACTGTTTTTTTATAAACTGTATTTCTGATCGAAAAATTGCAGCATTGGTGAGCATAAGAGACTTCTTTAAAAAGCATTTAAATCTCTTGCCTACTCCAGACTTATAACTTGTAGTTATCTCTGAAAATTAAGTTGGGATAAGAAAAAGCATTTTAGCATAGAAAAAAATTACACATTTTGGACCAATGAGATTTCACCATGGGTGGGCTATCCACAAATAGAATCCAAGTGACTGACAAAATGCACTCATCGCAGCTGAATAGAACATCAGCTCGTGAAAAGCGACCTCTTCTTACATTTATCAAGCCTGGTTAAGACACGGGGTGACAGACCTGAAACTCTGAAAAACCCTATATTAGAAAGTAGCCAGGAGCTCAGGAAACAAATTGCACCAGAGAATAAAAACATACAGAGGAAAAAAGCCTGGTTGTGGCAGAGAAAAACATATTAAAAGAGGAGAAGAAAGATCTAATTGATTAAAGGCCCGTTCACACCAAGCACGATAACTATAAAGATAACGATAAAGATATAGTTCTAAAAATCGTTCTCAATATTAAAGAATAGCAGAGTCCACACCACAACTATAACGATAAAGACAAAGAGAAACGATATCGTTGGAATTACTTTCAAAACGATTTTTCTCCAGCTGATGAACGAGAGAGAGAGAATATCAGAGAAATATCAGATATTAGAGAAAGAGAATATCAAATACCTCTAAAATTATAACTTTTCTACATTTCCTATTTCCATCATGCTATGATGTTGTTTCTCCTAATCTACTGGATTTTTCACTCATTTCATCATCCACTAGACAATGACTTTTCTTTCCCCCAAATTACTAACCCTATGAACAATATTAATAGTGATGCTTGGGACTTTACAATTTGTCCAACCTTTTAACGCCCAATGGGACAATAAAGCCATGAAATTTGGTTGTAATATGTGTAGACCGTTTACTGGATTGTTTTTTGCATGTTTGCTAATGGCACACACACACACACACACACACACACACACACACAGGTCATTCAGAGGGTTGAATTCTTTAGCTGCATCTACAATATAAATCTACTTCATATGGTGTGTACTCTGAGTGTTTGATCTTTACATCATTTTAAATTTGAAAAAACATTCTCTGAAAAAAACATTTTCTCTTTTGAAGTGTGTTTAGGTGGTATAACTGACCTCTGCTCTGTGTTAAAGATGGCAAACACATGTTTGCTGGACATGAAGCCTTTTTCTATGTCTCGTACCTTCAGGTTGTCCAGAGGAAGCATGTATTTCTTCTCTTTTTCCTAGAAAATGAGACAGACAATGGATATCTTAAGTCTTCGTGAACTACCTACTTTGACAGCATGTCTGGGTTCCTTTTTTAGCATTCAAACATGGCAAAGTTTTGAGAAACAGCCAATAAAGATTGTAATAAGATTTAGTATAGTGTCAACAAACTGTATTAGGAGTTTCTCAAAATTAGTGTTAAAGGAATAGTTTACCCAAAAAGGAAAGTTTTGGCATCATTTACTTACCCTTTCGTTGGCCTAAACCTGTGATGTTTGTCTTTCATGGAACACAAAAGAAGAAATTATTAAGACTGGTTACTCTTCTTTATTCAATTACAATGAATGGGAACTGGAGATTTCCATCTTCAAAACTGTCACCGGTTGAACTCAACTTAAGAACTGGATCAGTCCAATTCATGAACAAATCATTCAGATAACTTTTGCGAACCAGATCAACCAATTGAAAGATCTGATTCAAAAGAACTATTTGTTCAGGAATCAGACATCTCTTGTAAACTCATGAACGTGCAGATGGTCTTAAAATACATAATCTTTACATTGATGGCTTTGATGGTTCCATGAGGAACCTTTAACAGCCATGGAACATTTTCATTGCACAAAATGGTTCTTCTGTTGCATTAATGCAAAAACTCCTTTTAGAACCTTTATTTTAAGAGGAAAGGAGAACAAGGTTGGATGTTTAAGTTTTTACTGTGGCTCCAGAAGGCTACAGTGGAACATACAGTAGCACACAAGTTATATGGATCACTATTATGAAACTTTTATGTGTTTTGCATCCATTTGATGCTTGAAAGCTCCAACCCCTGATCATTGCAATTGATTGGAAAAGAGTGGCAGCAAATTCTTCCTTTGTGTTTCACAGAAGAAAGAAAATTATACAGGCTTGGAACACCATCAGGGCGACTAAATAATGACATTCATTTTCATTTTTGGCTGAACTATCTCTTTAACCAGATTCTAAAATGGTGTGAACTAGGGAAGATTACTATGAGGAAGAAAGCCAAGAGCGTAGAAACAAAAAAAGAATCCACTGCAGATCCATGTGATCATCCTCAGGATGGCTTCGGGCCCAGGACATAACAAAAAAACATGCGCATGAGAGATGCCACAAGTTTTCACTCTTTGAGTAAAGGATTGAGAAATAAAGAAGGAAAAAGAATTAGGAATTGAGAGATAGAGAGTGAGGGCCCACATGTGGAAGTCATTATTCGGACCAAGGCTTTAAAACACAACATTTCATCTGGAAAAAAAAGAAAGAAAAAGAGCTCCCCCTCTCCACCTCTCTCCTCCCTCTGTCTGTACAGGAGGGGCTGGGGTCTCAGGAAACGGCTTGGATTACATTGCAAATAACGGAACGGAGATGTGGGAGAAAAAGAGAAGAACAAGGGATGAAAGTGTGAGGGGAAACACTCTAAAAAGAGTAAAAATGAAAAACAGAAAGGGAAGAGAGAGTCGAATGATGCCGCTATCAGTAACTGAGTCTGACAGAGTGACTGCATAGGACTGCATTTTCTTGGAAGGGAGTATTTTTTGCAATGTTCAAAAACCCGATTGTTTTCTGACTTTAAGGAACAGTACAAAAAAAAATTATCATCATATACACCCTTATGTCATTCCAAACACAAAGTAAACATTTTTGAAAAATCATTACATATTCTTGCCATACAACAATAGTTCACAGAAACCAGAGTTGACAAGCACCAAAAAGAACAAAAAGATATCATAAAAGTGGTCCATGCATTTTGTGCACTACGTTTTAAGTCTTCTGAAGCCATAAAGAATGATTTTTGACGCAATACAGTACTGAAATTTAAGTTATCAAGTCATTATCAGTTGTCAGACTGACAGATTTATTTTAAGAAATGTATACTTTTCTTCAGCAATAATGCAACTGATCAAAAGTGAAAGAAATGTATTATGTTACAAAAGATTTCTATTTCAAATAAATGCTGTTTTCTATATAATAAGTATGATAGTAAGAAATGTTAGTTGAGCAGCAAATCAGCATATTAGAATGATTTCTGAAGGATCTTGTGACACTGAAGATATGAGTAATGATGCTGAAAATTCAGCTTTGCATCACAGGAATAAATTACTTTTTAAAATCTATTAAAATAGAAAATAGTTATTTTAAATTGTAATAATATTTCACATTATTTATACATGTTTTTTTCTCACAAAAATGTAGAGTTTTAGAACTTTAGAAGTTTTTAGAAGACTTGGAATAATGCACACTTTCATGGAGCACAGTTGTATGGAACACTTTTACGTTCCTTTGTGTTGCTTGATAGATATGATCACTTTAAACTATTAATGTGCGACAAGAGTTGTGCAACAATTAGTCAAAAAAACAGCATACAGATTTGTAAGAATGAGGGTAAGCAAACAATGACAGAATTTTTACTTTTCGGGAAACTATTCCTTTAAACTTCTACTACACTATCTCTCCTTGTCCTCCTTGACTCCTTGCACCCCTCCTTTTTTGCTCCCCTCAAAAACTTTCTCTCTTTTTTCATTCCAGAGGGGCCCACTTCCTGCCTGACTTTTTAGAGGTTGAAAAAAAAGTTAGAAATGACAGGCTGGCGTTAAGAATACAACATCTGGTACCGCTTTAGTGAGAGAGCGAGTGAGAAAGAGAGAGAGATTGGGCAGGGAAGTCCAGCGAATGGCTGGGAGTACTGAGAGAGGACGGAGGGAGAAAGACAGGAGTGGATAGGAGCGAGTCGAACCAAAAGATTGAAAGAAAGAGAGGAATTGAGAAACAACGGACCACTCCAAAAGTTTATTCCCCAAGGGTCCCATTCAACCCTTATATGGCCAGTGGGGTCCCTCCCTCTCTTCTCTCTCTCTCTCCCGCCGTCCTTCTCTGACTCCTCATTCCCTCTTTTTTGCTATGCCTTCCATGAACGTCCTGCCAGATAGGCGGCTGTGGGAGCGAATGTGCCACGTCAAGGCTGGATACTGCAAACCGACGCGGGAAAAAACAGCAGCTGGTGATGAGATGGAACTGAGAAAGTCGAGAACGGGTAAACGGACATCTGGAGCGTCTCTCTCCGTCCTCTACATTGGCGTTATCCCGACTGAGAATGAGATAGAAGCAATGGAGTCTATTTCTGTCCTGTTTATTTTGCATCTTCTACCGCCTCCTGTGAAGGTCGAGGCCAGCAGTGTTGGACTGAGTGATTGAAGTAGATAAAGAAAAAGAGGTGAAAAGAGAGAGAGATAAAGAGAGTGAGATAGAGAGCTGGAACTATCACCTGCTCCGTCATCCCAGTGTTCAGACTACCTGTTCAGGATCATACTGGTGTACAGTAGTCTGCACATTGGTTAGACTGTGCATGGACTTACATCACTGGAGAACCGACGCGAACTCTCAAACTCGAGCAAAAACACACACAAACTCAACGACTGCAGGTGAAAAGTCAGACTCTGCTATGTTTGGCTTTTTTATCTACACCAGTGTTGGTGATACTGCATGTCTCTTTGGACTCAAAGTTGGCGGTAATGACACAGAAGAGGTTCCGCGATGATTGACAGCTTGAATTTTGAATAGATGATCGTCCACAAAACATGTACGTCACATCAGCCACATTATGTGTAGCTAAACTTAGCATTTGAACTATATTACAAGAAAACTGTTCTAGTAGTCATTAACGCTGTGTATGTGTAAACACGTATGTACTCAGGCTGAGCTGTGTACGCATATGGTTTATATAAAAGCTCCAAGTGTCTGGCTAGTTTTCCGTTGAACTGTCTTGAGATGTGCAGAAGGCCTTCATAGGTTTCGAGTAGCGATTTGTCCAGATCTCAGCATAATCGTCGCATGCATGCATGTTAACTTGCCGTAAGACACAGGTGAGAGGTGAAAAGAAAGTGATTATGCTGCATGCTAACAGAAGCAGAGGGGTGCACAAGTCATCTGTTTTCCCTCATGCAGCTCGGCTCAGAAAGAAAGAGGGGGAAGACTGCAGGAATGTGTATCTGTTTAGTGTTGGGTGCTTGATTAACCCAAACCAGCAGTCTCGGCCTATGAACGCCATCAGAACTGGGACAGATTTAGAGAAAGCAAGGGAACATCTGAACATCTTTAAGGGTAAAGAAGTGATCCGCTTAATGCAAGAATGTGTGTAAGCTCATATAGAATGTGTGAGAATTGCAATGTGATCTGCTGCAAGGAGTGAGGGGCTGTATCTCTTCCTCTCTCCTCTCTTCTGTCTCTCTTTCGGCAGGCTCTAGGAGGCTGGATGGTGTTTGGACAAAGTCTTACAATTTTCCACCCAGGAATGTGAATGGCCCCAGTGAGACTGCCAACCACAGAGACAGAATGAAATGAAAAGAAAGTAAAGAAGATAGAGAGGGAAAGAGATGGACATATTGGAAAGAGTGTGATATGAAGTCAAATTTTAATATTTTTAATTGAATTTAAAATTTAAATGTAATTCTTGAATTGAAAAGTCCAGGCAAAATCAGAGGGATCATGCACACGCTCATATTCAAAAGAAATGATTGCAATGATGGATTCTGCAGAACATGAGGAACTGTAAAGCCAGCCAACCTCTTAAATCCAGTAATATTTAAAACCCCATCTAAAATTCAATGCTAATTTTAAAGGAAGCCAATCATTTAAACACATATTAATCTTAATACCAATAGAGTTTATAATTCAGAGTTAATATGCGTTTGCATCTGAATATTTTGAGCCTGAAGGTGTGTGACATTTTTAAAAATATACTCGTGTTTATACGAATTCCTCCATTTGAAGTGTTGAGGGGGTTTCGAGTTTCAGAATTCATTAAAATTAGTGTTTGCTTATATAGTCGCATGCATTTGGCAGTCAGGACGACTGGTAAGCGTAAGTGTGTCTGCGTCTGTGTGTGTTTAAGATTCTGTGTATATCAATATCCGTGTGTGTCTGTGAGTGTGAGTGTGTGTGTGTTTGTGTGTTAGTTTGACTTGGTGGGCTTCCAGCTATGTCAGGGTGATCCAGACCAAATGCCTTAATTCCCAATGGACAGAGAGAGATGGTGGGGGTATACCAGGAAAAGGGAGCAAGTAAAATAAGAAGCAAAGGAGGAAAAGAGGGATTCAACAAAATGAAAAATGAAAGAGTGAACTATAAGTGAAAAGAGTTTTATAATCTAGCAATGAGTTACTGCATTTAAATTACTGTCTTGGTTAAGAGTATTATGAATTTTCTGTATCATTTTTAAATCTCAGCAGACAATTATTGATTTATCTTAACAAAATTGTTAAATGGCATAAGAGCATGAAAATGTATGTTAAATGCAATGATGTGAATAGAAATGTTTACAACAGATTTAGAGGGCATGCATGTTTGTATTTTAGTAACACATTATTTTTGTCCTCTCTCTTGCCCCTTTGCTTCCGGCTTCCTGTCGGGAGAAGCAGGCTGTGCTGCCATTGACTGAGAGCGTTGTCTGTCTGCCTGTCTACACTTGCTGTGCAGAACTTCCTGCACCTGTACAGCAGGCACAGACAGGCAGACAGATGGCAGCCCGCCTGACAGGCTACACAGTGTGACTGACACAGAGACCGGCCAATGAATTCCACAACCTGACAGGGAACTTTAAGCAGAGCACTGAAAAATGTATTTTCCCATGATCATAAACTCATTAAATGAATGAAAGAGCACATTTAATTCTCTAATTCAGTTACTCACCTCATCATCTTTAAACCAGGACAGACTCTCTGCGGTGAGCATGAACCAGTACTCCTTGGCCCCTCCCTTGATCAGACTGATGTTGTTGATGGTTAACCAGCCCTTGCGAATCACCTGAGGGGCAAAAGTCAGAGGTGAAAGGTCTGGGTTCAAAAACACAGGCAGAGGATGAGATTCTCTGGTCCTTTAAGAAATAAAAAGATGAATGTGAAATTAAGAAGTAGTAAAATCTGCAGGTACCACGTTTTACTTGGCATTTTTATTAGATAGAATGAATGATAACAATAGAATAGAATGATATATAGAACGAATGATAGAACAAATGATAGAACAAACGATAGAAGAAATGACAGAACGATAGAACAATAGATATATAGAACGATAGAACGATAGATAGATAGATAGATAGATAGAACTAAAGCAATAATAAAAGCTAGTAGACTTTGGATAAATGGAGGGATGAGAGGGTGGGGGTGAAGAAAGACAAGGAAACAGAAGGCCGCGATGGCAAAGAGAGGAGGGGGAAAGGTCCAAAACATCCCGTAGGAAACATGAGTCATTTTCTGGCTGATTTAGGCTGATTATGACTGTCAAAACAGAGTTTTATCCTCTGTGTCATTCATTCAGTTTAACAACTTTATGAACAGTTGTTGTTTAGTAATTAGAATGAACTTTTCTTCTCAAAATTGCAGATTAATTTCACCTTAAAAAGTAAAAAAAAAAAAAAAAGAAAGAAAAGAAACAGAAAATGAAAACAACCATAATGAATTTCTCCATTATACATATGGTCAGTGGGTACAATATTCTGATAATATACAATAAAACTTCTTCAATGCATTTTTATTCATCTACTGTTCCAATCGAACCTCCAAAAAAAACAATAAACACAAAAACATTTGCTTTATTTTGTGACTGTACCAACCTCAAGTTTGCACCTTGCACCATTTTGTTCAAAATCAGAAATTGTGAACACACACTCACGCATACACAAACACACACAGGCCAAATGGACTATGATCAAAGAGAAGTTTGAGATTCCAACCGGTTTTTAAAGGGGTCATGAACTGAGAAAACAAAATTCCCTTGATCTTTTGACAGATATGAGGTCATTGTACTTTAAAAACATCCTGTGAGTTTCAGAACTCAAAACTTTCTTGTTAGTCTAAAAACAGCTTATATTGAAGCCAATCTGCCAAAACGACAGGTTGTGGAATGTGCCACTTTATGACATAATAGTGTGGCTAAACCCCGCCTCTGCAGAAGAAGATGAACGCCTGCTTCTACATCACTGCCTGTTTAGCCCCGCCAACAATCGCATGTCTATGCAAAAATCAAACGATAAAGATGGTTCCAAAGACAACAAGAGGCCGTGCAGTTCCAAGTTGTGGAAAAACACAGTCTTTGCATTGCCTTCCTTCTGATCCCAACATTAGGAAAGAGTGGATTAACTTTTTAATGAAGAGATTTTTAATGAAGATCCAAACCACGTCAGTAAGAACTTGGTCCTTTGTCTACTTCATTTTACCGTGGATTCAGTTACAAACAAAGCACAATTCGATGCAGGATTTTCAGAGAGATTGAATCTAAAAGACGATGCTGTGCCGACTATATTGGATCCGACAGTAATGTCGCACCACACAAGTGTGAGTAACTGTTTTTATTATGTGGTGACTATTGCTTTGTCTGTTATTAGAGATAGTTTGATATGTACTGAGTATTTCCGAGTTTTTGACCTAAATCACAGCAGCGTACATCTGTGAAGGATGTAGGCTGTCAAACATATACAACTGTTAGCCATAGCATCATAGCAGTGGGCATTTACTTCCAAATATACAATCCACCACGCCTATTCAAACAGAGCATTCTGATGAGGAGAAAAAAAGGACAGTAAATAGCCTATTACTTCTAAATTATGATGTTTTTTAATGTAAAAATCCTTATAACATTATAAGTGGACCTCAGAGAAAAGTACAAAATAATAAAAAAGGGCAGTTCATGACCCCTTTAACATTAGAGCCCACATACACACGACTCTGTTTACTCATGTACTTACATAGCTGCAAACTATAAGGAGGTTCATTCACAGACAGTACATTATAAGAACAGAATTAAAGTACAGTGATTCAAATTTATGAACAGGAGGATAAATGAAGCAGGTAATTAATAGAGTAAAGTTTTAGGATATGGTTTAGGTTTTATTTAAGTTTTTTTAATTTAAAAAACACAGCTGGGCAAATCAGGATTCAGACTAGGGCTGCACGATAAATCGCATGCGATATTTAACGCGCATCTTGTCAGTAAAGCCATTCTGTAATCAGCGGTAAATCTCCATCACGTGCGTGCTTTCACATTGAGCAGCATTAACTACACAGAGCCGTTGTTCACAGACGAGCTGCGCAAAAAAGCACGCAGGTGATGGAGATTTACCGCTGATTACAGAACCGGCTTTCTGACAAGATGCGCGTTAAATATCGCATACGATTTATCGTGCAGCCCTAATTCAGACTAAGAGTTCAAAGGTCAAATGAGTTATGTTTTGGACTATTGTGTATTGAGTAGTCTTTAGGGAAGTGTAGTGCATGAAAAACACACTGTACAACAACATTCAGGGAGTGTTTTAGCAGGAGTCATAAAAATCTGAATTTCTGAGTCCCAGAATGTCTTTGATTTATGTGACAGCAGCACCAGACAAAGGGTGGAAAATAAAGCAGGAAAGAGGAAGATGTGATTTCGCTGTGTTCAGAGGCATAAAGGCATTCTGACATACATAGACACAAACACAAAAACTACGTGACGCTGGTAGACAGTAGGTAAGGCTTACAGACACTGGACTCGTACAATTTGACTGGATGGAGGAGGGGCAGCACCCTAAAACATCAGCAGAGAGGAGAGAATAAAACCATTAAGGAGGCACCAGTGAGCATGGGCATCTCTCCTGGCACGCTGCCACTCCACATTTATTCCTTCAACTTTGTGAAATGTTACTATATCACCAACACTACAAATACTAAATCGTTTTCTAAGCAATAGAAGATTGAAAAGATTAGACATATACAGCAAACAGCACACATGTAGCACAGTGCACAGTGTAAGAGATATGAACATAGATCAGCAATTTCAGGAGCGCTCCAGGTTCAATACTAGTCCAGCTCTATTACCACTGAAAATAATTTTCACTCCCTCAATGTTTAAAAACAGAGAGAAAACATATTTACAGTCATGCATGTATAATTAAAATTAAGCAAAAAAATTTTTTTCTGAGTTGCAAGGTTATCTAAATCCTCATTTTAGTAGTGGTTTTTACAGAAACTGTATATTTTAACATTTAACATTCCAGTTGCTTTATAGACTGCCATTATAAGTGCATAGTACAGTATATTACAGTACATGCATTTTTTTACATACACTACCATTCAGAAGTTGTGGGTTGGTAAGAATTATTTTAAAATATGGTAAAAACAATACTACTACTACTAATAATAATAATAAGAAATATTCTTACAATTTAACAGTTCTTTCAGAATTACTCACCCCAAACATTTCAATGGTAGTGTACCTAGAGATGAATTCAAATAGGCTTGAATTGTTTAAATGACTGAACCTGAAAAATTCCTTTAAAATGGACACTGAAGCTAGGAAAGAGCAACTCACACAGAATATGTATGAAATGTTTGACCTTAGACCCATTAAGATCACCTCAACGGTGCAGCAGTAGGGAAATAAAATGCCATTCAGAGTCTCCTACAGAATTTAGCTCCAACCAGCTCCAAAACACTTGCCTGAAAATTTCTAGTGAGTCTGAAGATCTTGATTAGCTGAATCAGTTGTGTTTAAGTAGGGTTGGAGCTAAACTCTGCAGGATAGTGTCCTTGCAGGAACAGGTATGGACACCCCTAATATAAACCTTTCAAAACCCTGTGAAGCACTACAATTAGGGCTTTAAAGGTGCGGTAACATTTACCGTTATTTAGCAGTCATTTCAATAGGAATTCATGCAACTGGCAATTTTGTGTAAGGGCAAAGATTTCCCCATGCAGATCCTCCATTGGTGGAAAGCGTGCAATCTGCAATTGCGTGCAGTTGCTGCCGCTCACGACTGCGTGCAATCGCTTTCGTATGCATGCTGTTTTTTCTGCTTTCACTTTCACTTTCGAAATCGATCACATTCAGCAGAGAGGAGGGGAAGGGGGCACAGTCAAATGGAGATAAAGAATGAGAAACACAGGCCACTAAAAGTGGGCAGCTATTTTTGAGCTCTTACTAGGCTTAGGGCTTTTAATAATTGCTAAGAGCCCATTTCATCAGTTACAATGATCAAACTCCAATGCTAATCATTGAAAATCGACAGAATGGGGCCAAAAAACAGCCATCAGAGAGAGAGAAATAATGAATATTAATTTACAGCACTTGTAGTGGAAACGCAAGCCATCAAGAGCAAGATTAATATGAAAAAATGTTAGAGATACACATAAGCCACGTATTATCTGATGTGAGACAGATGACCAAAAGAGCAAGAGAGCTTGAGCAGAAAAGAGACTTCCTTCCAGAAAAGACTTGCTAGGTGATGCTTTCTGATATATACCAGGTTCATATCATCAGCTCATAAAACACTGTGACTCACCTGGTTCCCTGCTGAAGGCTTCTTACTCGTTTGATTGGTTTTCTGTTGAGCGCTGAAAGGAAATGTGTAAATGGGGGGAAATTGTTCATGTCATGTTCTTAAACGTGTTTTATTTATGCCAGTCATTTGTTGTTAAAAACTTACTTTGCAAACCCAATAAAATCTTCATGGTTTGTGTTGATGTAAGAGAGCTGAATCTCTAGTGAGAGTAAAACCTGTTCAGTGAACAAATACATGAATATGCACAACAAGATACAACATAAATCAATAATTTGTAATCAAACTGCTAATAAAGTTCTTTTCAAACATAACTAAACCCTCCCTAAAAAAAAAGAGCGATTCATTTGAAAGATTGTGTGTAGCTGTTTGTCTGACCTGGTCTTTGGCTTGACTCTCTCGTTCCCGAATGTGTGTGGTCACTATCCTCTCCGTCTCCTCCCGTAGTTTTGGAAAGGACTCTAACTGTGGACAAAAAAAATAAAAGTTCAAATAGAAAAAAAATCTAAAAACATTACCAACACCATTAACTCTTTTTTCCCTTTTACATTTTATTTGTGTCTTGAAAAAGAAGTGCACTTAATTGTTTTGAATGTGCACTATTGTACTTAAAATCTTGTAGTATCTAAAGTACTTAAAGGGGACATCGGATGCAAAATTCACTTTTACTTAGTCCGCCATTGTTTCGACATCAGAGCAGGTGTTGACAAGAATGGCTCCTAAGCGATTGAGGTGTTTTGTTGTTGGACGTAATAATGAACATAGCAGTCGTCATTTACTCCTGACATCTGCGCCGCTGAAGACGCAGTGGATTACTTTTGTTTTTTAAGGGAATGTGCCTCCCGATCTACCTAAATGCGTTTATGTTTGCGCAAATCATTTTACTCCAGACTGCTTTCTGAATAAGGGACAATTCAAGGCAGGTTTTGCTAAAAAGTTAAAACTCTAGGATGGATCAGTGACCACTGTCCATGATCCAGCTGCACCTCCAGAAGAAGTAAGTCTCACACTTTATATTTCTTATGATTATTTCCTCTTCCAGAAGAGAGGGGCGGGGTGAGCAAAGCAATCGTTTTTTTTTTATCGTTTAAAGAGACATGCACGGAAACGGGTCGCTGTGATCAGAGCTGTTTTTGACAAGGTAAAAAGGGTGTTGTTTTACACAACCATTGAGGAATTTTAACCAAAGCATGTTACAGACATTTCATGAAGACCCTAATGAATCATATACCAACTTGTGGAAAATGGGCATCCAATGTCCCTTTTAAAGTGTTTGTTTAAAAACTGATAATGTAAGATAATGTAATATTAATTCAATAAAAGGTCAGTGTACACGGAGTACACTTTTATGACTATGTTTCTTACATTTAAGTACACTTACTTTAAAGTACATTTTAAATCATTATCAGACATATGTCTGAGCTGTTTTAACATATCTTAAAATATGTCAGTGCGATTGTTTTATGCACATCAGTAATGTTTTTCTTTTTTTTCTCTAAAGGACATTTAAAAAAACTACTAAAATGTCCTAATTGAACTATGGCTTAATCTAAGCCCTGTCTGTGAAACCAGGCCTATGTTTTAATAATCTTTTGTTGTGCTTTAAGGTACACTCATTTTGATGTGTTGACTAACATACTTAAACACATGTAAAGTACTTGATTATAATTTTAACTGCAGTGTGTTATTCAATATTACATTTATAGTTAATATATTTTAAATGTACTACATTGCAACTTCATCATTATAAATGCGTAATTACAACAGAAATCACAGTTTCAACAGAAATTACGGTAAAGTATATTTTAGTTAACCATAAATGCTTCAGTGCATTTGGCAGTACACTTTAACTATATTTAAAAGAAAACTGAATTATGAAATTACGTATAAGATGTATTTAAGTCTAATTTAAATGGGTCAAAAAAAGCACTCAGTTCAGCTAATTACATTTAGTATAGATTTAAACTATTTTGTCTTGGTGATCTTTTATCAAAATGTAATAACTTTGAAATGACTTTCCTTTCCCCCTGATATCACTTGGGTTGTGCAAACTATTGGAAAATATTAACCAATAGCCAAAATGCTATTTAAAGATTGTTTTAGCTAACTTTTAAAGTAAAATAAGATCACATCGACTTTAATGAAAACATATTATATACTTTTTTTTAGCATTATATTATACTGTTTGACTTTGATGTATGTCTATGTATGTCCATTCATTCATAAAAGGATGTTTAAGAGGATGTTGTACCTTGTTGGTACACTGTTGTACTGTGTTGATGAGCTCCTGAATCACCATGTCTACACACTTGAGACACGGCCCTTTAAGCTTCACAATCTGCTTCTTCACTATGGCTTCAAAGGCCATATCGGGTGTGAACAGGCCTGTCCTGGACAGCAAGAACGAAGAGAAAATGAAGTACAGGGAGTTAACGTCTAAGCTGAATATATTTTGTAGTAAAAAGAAAGAGAAGACGAAGTAGAGGAAGACATACAGAGAAGCTCTCTGTATGAAAATATAAATTGTATTTTCTTATAAGATTGGCAAACAGTTTAAAGGCATAGTTCACCCCAAAAAAATAAAAATAAATCTATCATCATTTACTCTGTTCTTCCACCTGTATGTGTTTCTTTCTTTCGCCGAACACAAAAGAAGATATTTGAAGAATGTTGGTAACCAAACAGTTGAAGGTAACCACTGACTTCCATAGTATTTTTTTCCATACTTCGGATTTCAATGGCTACCATCAACTGTTTGGTTACCAATATTCTTCAAAATATCTTCTTTTGTATTCAACAGTGAAAGAAATTCATACAGGTTTGGAACGACTTGAGGATGAGTAGAATTTAAATTTTTGGGTGAACTTCTTTTTAAGACGACTGCCATAACGGCCAACACAGTGAAAACAGAAAGTGACTGAGTGCCCTTTTAAATCAGCTGATAAATATTTGTGACATGTACCTGATGCCATGGATATTTTTAATGGCGTAACTGATCTCCCTTCGTAATTCTTTCTCATCAAACTCCATCTGATGTAGCAGAATGTGAACAGGAAATCAGCATTAGCTCTGATTTCCAAGCTCTGAATGGCGTTTAAGTAAATAACAATGATCAGTTCATCTTTAACAAATCACCTTAACAAGCTCAAAGGGAAAACGTTCATGAAAGACGCGGTTGATTTTGGCTCCTCCTGAAAGCTCCACTGTGTCCACCTGATCCCCAGATCCCTCGATCCGCTTCTCAAAATCTAGCCCAAAGTGCTGTATCAGCCTGGACAACAAAGCAGCATTATGTGTTTGTGTGTGTGGCATCTTCAGTTCTGATCGTATCTGCAATGTGTTTGTTGTTTAGGCTGTAAACAAAGGTCTTGTTTATTGCAATAAGGTAAAGACTAGCGTGTTTGTGTCCATGTTTGTTTGTGTTTTTCTGTGCATGTTTATTTACTCTCTGAATTAGAGCGAGTTTATGTGTGTGTGAACCCACTGCATTAAGGCCTTGGTCTTTCGCGAGGGGTCATCTGGGTTCAAACACTTGTACTCCCCTGCCTCTTTATCCAGTGACAGAAGCTGACCCTGTAGTCTACTGCGTAATGCTGGTAATGTGTCACGAATGTGGTTGGTAAGTTGCTAGGGAGATGGAGAGGGGTTTAGGAATTTAAAAAAAAAGTGAAGAAATACGATTCAAAGTATAATTTTCCATTTTTAATCTGTGCGCTACTATGTATTTCAGACATATTCTGTGTAGTATCATTCTCTTGTCACCTGGTTTAGGAGCCTCTGTAAGTACAGAGTGCCCATGCAGTCTGCCATATGTCTATATGCAGGATGTGACTTGAAGAACCGTCTTTCTGCAGCCAGAGCTGCACTGTTGTCCTTTTTTCCCTCAATGTCCTTCTGACTACGGTTTACCACACCAACATAACCTGTAGTCACAACAGGGAGACAGAAATAAATAGAGTAGAGGGGAAAATTTCTCTTTATTCAGATATATTCTTTGTTTTATAATGAAGCCTTATTAGAAGTAGGGTGTACAAACTTACATAGTTGCTTTAATATTTTTTTATATTTCTTTGGCATTACCAGCCAATTTACAAGTACCATGACATTTAACTAGGATGCAAAGAATAAAAAATATTGAATATAAATGTTGCTTTAATGAAATAAAAAATGCTTTTGAATTTTAGAATTTGTCTCTGCACTTTTTTCAATCCTATTACCTTGTGACATTTCTTCTTCTAAACATAATAATTTGTACGTTTCTGCGCATTTTTTACCATTATCGCATTTTGTTTACACTAGCCGCAGTGGTTCTCAACCAGGGGGCTGGAGTCCACTAGGGGGCCTCTGCAATCTTCCAAGTTGGCCTCAAGATGACTTAAAATGATTTAACATGAAGATTTAGACAAAACAATCTTTAAAACAGATAAACATTATGATCATATTCCTTATCCTTAAACCTTCTCCAGGAAATCATAAAAGACTGGAAAAGTCATGTAAATTCATTGGTTAAAAAGAATGGGATACCTGAAGGACATTCAGCTCCTAACTGTGAAAAGTCAATGTCCTACAACTAGAAGTAAATCTGTATGTGATCTGTATAAATGAGGGATAAGATTTCTAGAGTGTCTTAACCCTTCTCCACGGCTGGACTTCTGTGTGTCTAATGCATTAAGGCAGCAACAGGCAGCATGAAGATTCTGCACCTGGCCCAGTTTTAGCCACTATAGCCTGCAGCAGACTTGCTTGGCAGTGGCCCAGGTCTTAGACCAAACTGCATTGGGTCTCTGCTGACAGCACATTTCTACATGTGCGCTGTACCTCTGCGTAGTGGCAGTAACCTGTTCTCCAGCACGTCCCTGACATCTGTGCCCTTGTCCATCAGATCCAGCTTAGTGATCACACCGATGGTGCGATGGCCTGAAAGAAAGATCAAGTAAAACCGGAAGAAAAACAAGAAGGAAAGACACATGAAGATAGTGGGGGATCTAACTGAGGACAGACATGATGGTACTTTAGTTATGCCTGGAAGATCTATCAGAGAGAGGTTCAAAACTACAGAAAGAAAAAGAGAAAAACAAAGACAGACACAAATATTTTGTCAGAGATACTTATAGAAAGGGGGAAAAAATCTAAATGAGATCTCTCTGAGGCATTAACACCATAAAAAGGAGAGCAAATACACCTTCACTATCATTTATATGTTTTGTTCTTAGCTTTTTTAAGAAATCAGTAAGAACACACTAAATTGAGCAAAAGTTGCAGAAAAAACATTTATAATGTTACAAAAGATTTCTTAGTTTTTTGTAACTTTCTTTTCATCAAAGTATCCTTAAAAAAAGATAATGGTTTAAACAAAAATATTAAGCATAAGCAATATTGCCATTAATAAGAAATGTTTCTTAAGCATCGAATCAGCTGCTGAAAATTCAACTTTGACATCACAGGAAATAATTATAAAATGATGAATGCAGCCTTTGTGAGCATTAATGTACATAAATGAATCACTTGTTTTCTGACAATAATACCATTTGGAGAGCAGATACGAAGGTTGATGGGAATGGAGGATATGCCCTTATTTGTTCCCGTGACTCTGTCTGTCTCTGTTTCGATCTCCCGTCGGACATCATCAAAGTCTGTAAACTTCTTTCCTTTACAGTGCAGAAACTCGGCATGCTCTGCGATGGAGAATGGAAAGTATGAATTAGAGAGAGCAGAAGATGATAGCGCCTTAGGGGAACTGACAGCTCAACAGTTTGTAATTCATGAATTTCAAAGATCTGACAATTCTCCATTCTCCATACACTGACTGATTCTAATCTTAACACAGGAGACACTGGCCTCTAGTGTTCAGTGTACATAATCCATATGCCACATGATATCGGATGGGTTAGTTGGTTTATAAAACTAACCTGTGCAGAATATTATTACCAAAAGGGACTTGATTGACTAAAATCAAATAGAAAAAGTTAACGATTTTAAAGTTTTATGTGTAATATTGGTTTACCAACTTTTTATATGATTAGTCCTTATATATCCATTAAAGAAGACAAGATGTCTAGGTATGCAAGGTGTTTTTTTTTTCTTTTCGTATTTTGTGACTATTTGGAGACAGACTCCTCAATCTGTTACTACACCAACAGTGTCTCTATATAAACAGGTTATGAGAATAATGGATAGAAGTCAATAACATACATTATTGTAAATATATATATATATATACAGTATATATATATATATTTTTAAAAATATATATATACAAATCATTTTCAGTAAAAGGAGTTATGGACTGATTTAACAAAATAATTTAAAAGCCTGAAATGGAATAAAATGAATGCAGCTTTTAACTGGCTTTGTGATCATTATTTTATTTAGGGTTTACATAATTGGTTAACCCTCTGGCCCTCTTCGTTTAGGAGTCACACTTGCCTCCTTCGCGGTCAAAAGTGACCGAAGCCTTGAAATTTAACTTTTTATTTTTCTCAGGAAAATCAATGTAATATATTTTTGTTCAATAATATTTTTGATTATTATTTATGATTTTGAGAGAATTTTATGATACTATGCAATATTTATACAATTTTAATGAGTTATTTTCTCCATTAGAATTAATATATTTTTTTTTTCTTTATTTCTTTATTATTTTTTAATAAATGCAATATTTCACATTAAAATAGAGTGAAGGCATTTAAAATCCATTTTTTTAAGTGAGTGTGTTCATATTGCTAATGTGACAAAAGTCATCAAGTGTCATCTCATTCCGATGAAGCTAAGATTTTTAAAATATAAATTTTTTTGGCCAAAAATGACCGAAGAGGGCCAGAGGGTTAATTGGTTATTTGTTGAATGTGTGTGTTTTTATTGTGTTTTCAATTTTGGATTGTTTGTTGGTTGTTATATTTTGTCTAGGTCTGTAGTAAAAGCCCAACCAAAAAGTAGTATTCTACACTGTTGTCACATGAAATCATTAAGTGGTATATTCAATTCAGAGAGTGGAATCTATTTTTAAAAATATTTTTAATCCAATTTTGTGTTTCAAAAATTGTGAAAATAATTTTTTTTATACATATATCCAATTATATCAAGCTATTCCGAACACATAGTCAATGATTTGTTACCTGATCTCTAATTGAGTACTACAACTAAAATATATGTGTTTGTGTGTATCACTTATACCTGAAGTTGAACTGATGAGTTGAAGGACAAGCGGTCTCCTTGTAACAATTCCTGAGCCTCTTGGCAGGAAATCTCTGAAAGGATAGCATGACCATCATGTCAAAGAAATTACACATAAGAAACAAACATACAATAGGCAGACGAATCCTTATGCATGCCAAAGTAAAACTCTCCTTCTAACAAAATAAACAAATATATAAAAATAAATAAATAAAAACCTACACATAAAACTTGCCTCACATGATACACTGACACTATCCCTGTCTGAGGCACAGTGCCAGAGACTGTCACTGCATACTTGGACTAGTCCAGTCTTACAGTGAAACCATAAACCTCGTCCCACCCTTCATGACCCTCATACTCTGATATTTATGGCACGTTTACACACAACTTGTACTGGCCTGTACATTTACAAATGAGTTGTAAGACAATCTAGCTTTACATAATCATAAAGTAGTGAATTCATAATCCAGAACCAGTTCATTTTCACCATGTATGTGCAGAGGACATGAGTACAGTCTATAAATAAAACAGCCCAGTAGAGGAACTGCAGCTAGATCACTGATCTTCTTTACGGGTGATGTTAAAATACCCCCTACCCCTGTTTGAAGTGCAGAGATATCTCTAAATAAACCAATTCTAGGTTGATTACACCAAAGTGTAAACACAATCATAGCTCTAATTGTTAGCTTCTGGTTGATTCAGTGGTGCGGGCCTGTTTGTCTTAGATTTTTGTTCTTTATCCAATATATTTTGAAAGAGGCAAAAATACAATGATGGGAAAAGTTAGACTTTTCCATGGACAAATGTGTTTTCCATTTGGTCTGATAAATCCCAGGCTTGAGATGAAGTCACAATGGATGATAAAGATGATAGTGGAAATTGGGTGTGCGCAGATCTAAAACAGAACTACTGCCCAAAATAGAGGGGAAGTCCCACTGGATTAGACCTAGTTAAAGGCATCCAGGGAGAGGGGCAGGATGCAGGTAAAACCATCCGTGGTAATAAAGTGCTGCAGTGATTATGTATTTTGTAGGTCAACCCGGAAGTAGCATCACCCTGTTTCACTCAACAAAAATCCAATACGATTTTTCCTCTGGCTTTTTCGATTATTGCAGAAAATAAGCTCTGAGACCAACAAACGTTTATGATTCTTACAAGTTTTGTTCATCATGATAATCGTTACGTTTAAACAACTTTTACTAATTTTGAAGCCTAAATACAATCAGTATAAGTAAAAAGCTAAACATAGGCTATAAATGAACTACACCACGGTTGCATGACTTCAGTGTCACTAAAACTTCCAACAACTCTTAAAAACTCTTAAAAAAACATTTTAGAATAGTTTGCAAGAGCATATTATAAACATAATGAGGCTATAAAAGCGGACTAGTGAGTAGTTTACCTGTTCGGTGTGATGATAACCTCTGTAGCTCCATTTGGCCACTTGTTAGCAACTGCCTTTTTCAAAACTAGTAAAAGCTTTTTAAAAAATCACAAGGGGGTATTACTGATGTATTTTATGATGTAGAATAAATGTGAAAATATCTTAAGCTTGTAGAGTGGGTAACTCATCTGTATATTAGCCAAGAAACTACTGTATATGAACTAGCAAACCAGCCTGTGGTATTTAGCTTGAACCCAGGCAGTGAGTCATCTGTGTGGCTCACTCTTCTTCAACAATGTCCTTTACATTTGCAGTCATTTCCAATACTTTCCCTTGACCTCCACTTTCTAACCCCCTCAACAAAGCCCCTCTTGACTCAGATGCTCCAGCCTCATATTCTCCCCCTTCTCTTTCCTTTCTTCTTCACTATCCGCTTATTTCATCCTGTCCCTCCCCCAGTACCCAGCATGCATTACTGTAGTAAACAGACATGTAATGCAGAATTGAGCACTGCCTGTGTGTAACATAGTATGAATGTTTACACATTTCAGCGGGTGTTTAACTGAGCATTTCAAGATTAAAATAAACAGTTTAAGAAATAATCAAGAGATTAAAGGAGTAGTTCAAGCAAAAAGTAACATTCAGTCATCATTTACTTGCCCTCATGAATCATTTTGTTGATCTTTAGAAGAATGCTCACCCAGCTCTTTTCCATAATATAAAAGCATAAAGTGACCTGTGGCGGTTAAAGGGTTAGTTCACCCAAAAATGAAAATTAGCCCATAAATTACTCACCCTCAATGCGTCCTAGGTGTGTATGACTTTCTTCTTTCAGACGAATCAGTCGGAGTTATATAAAAAATTGTCTTTGATCTTTCAAGCTGTTTCATGGCAGTCAGCAGGTGTTGCAGTGCTTCAGTCCAAAAGAAGTGAAAAAAAAGTGCCCATCCATAAAAAAAAGAGTCTCACACGGCTCTGGGGGGTGAACAAAGTCCTCCTGTAGCGAATCGATGCGTTTTTGTAAGAACAAATAACCACATTTAAAACGTAATAATCAATTTAATCTAGCTTGCGTTCACTGTTGTAAACGGAAGCAGTTCCGGGCGGATGACTTATAAGTTCGGCTTTGCGCATGCGCCGCTCAGAAGTGACGAACACGGAGAGATCAAAACAAAACAACGGTAATGGGTGAAAATTAAACAATAAAAAGTGAAAATTTTATTTCACTTCTTTTGGACTAAAGCAATGCAACACCCGCTGACTGGCATTAAACAGCTTGAAAGATCAAAGACAATTTTTTATATAACTCCGACTGGATTCGTTGAGGGTGAGTAATTTATGGGCTAATTTTCATTTTTGGGTGAACTAACCCTTTAAGCTCCATAAAAGGCCAAAAAAAGCACCATAAGATTAGTCTACAGAAGCAAATGCCATTGGTTTTCATGTTTTCATTTTTCTGGTGTTTTTTGTTGTTGTTTAAGCTTGACAGCCCCTGGCCACTGAGATGAAGGTCAGTAAATGACTGCAGAATTTCATTTTCAGTTGAATTCTTTTTAATTAAAGGTTTAGTTTTCCCCAAAATGAAAATTCTGTCATCATTTACGCATACTCATGTCACTCCAAACCAAAATACTTTAAATCATCTTTGATTTAAACACAAATAATGATATTTTTTAATTGCATTGAGAGATGTCTTCTAAATTTATAAATGAAAATGTAATGTAAACTAGAGTGAGAAGCTGGGAAGTTCCTCAAAAGAAAGATTCCAAACCCATCAGCTAAATTTGATCTCATCATTTTGAGATGTCTTCTACTGGTCATGTAAAAATCAACTACTTATTCTTCTAAACCCAAGCACTATGCTCCCTCTCTCATTTCACTAACCCATTTCTCCGGGCATCTCTGGTGTTCCACTGACTGGTAGTGATACTGAGATAACAGATGGCTGAGGGTGCACTGCTCTCCTCCATTCATATATAACTCATTGCTATGGATACGTGTACTCATTATTTCCTGTGCATGAGCTCTAAGTAGGCCATCATATGACTGCACGACGGAAGTTCATTCTGTTGCATAAATGATTCCACTTCATTCCACCATTATTTCATCCGAAGGAAACAAACCACCTGCTAGACTGTACCACTTTCAGTCAGAAGAGTTTTTCAGTTGAGCAACCGATAATAAAAACATAGAAGCAGACTGTAAAAATTCTATTATTTGGTAAGGTGTTCTGAAGTGTGGCAAGTGAGCGATGGCAAGATTTCCAATGAATAGCAACTTAAATTTTGGATTGGTCCTCCTATCGTATGGCTTGAGGAGACAGAATATAGCACTGCTCAAGCATTGCTCAAATTGTACAGCATGACACTGGCAAAGGTCATGGGTTTGATTCCCAGGGAATGCAAGAACTGATTGAAATATATTTTTAAAATATCTGCCAAATTCATAAATGTAAATTGTGCTTTTATTGCATTTCGGTAGCTCAAACACTAGAAATGCCAAAGTCATGGGACAATGTGTAACCTGAAAAAATGTATACCTTCAATGCAATTTAAGTCACTTTATTCTTGTATATATAAATGTATATGGAGAGGAAAGAGCAACCATAACATTCTGCTAGCTAACTCCTTTTGTGTTCTATGGAAGTAAACGTACATATTGAGTAAAATGAGGATAAGTTGAGAATTTTCATTCTCCAGATATCACTTAATTTAGGAAATTTAGGAATTCCTCGTCCTGAGTTATGTGAGTCCAGCACTACACTTACTTCTCTTTCAGAGTCAGATGCCGGACTCATAATCAACTTAAGCTGAGAATGTTTGCCTGTAAGCCATATCTAGAAGATCTAGCCATAGGAGATCTATTGCAGCAACAGATATTTTCTTCGTTATTGTGACGTATATCCGAGTGCAACTTTTTGCAATGTTTGAAAAAGAAAAGAAAAAAAAGTAGGGCGGGGACTTGGTTCTATCCATAAGATTTTGATTGAATTTTGAGATGTGGGCATTGCACTCAAAAATGAAAATGAGCTTGCTGTTGATTGCAGAGGGGCGGATGTATGCCAGATCTGCAGAGAGATCTGGCATACATCACTAAAGTCTGTCATTTTGACCGGAAGCTCAAGTTTATGCCTGATAGCGTGATAAACACACTGCTCTTTAAGGGTGTGTTCACACTTGGCAGGGTTGGCTTGTTTAGTGCAGACTCCGTCCAGCACTACACTTACTTCTCTTTCAGAGTCAGATGCCGGACTCATAATCAACTTAAGCTGAGAATGTTTGCCTGTAAGCCATATCTAGAAGATCTAGCCATAGGAGATCTATTGCAGCAACAGATATTTTCTTCGTTATTGTGACGTATATCCGAGTGCAACTTTTTGCAATGTTTGAAAAAGAAAAGAAAAAAAAGTAGGGCGGGGACTTGGTTCTATCCATAAGATTTTGATTGAATTTTGAGATGTGGGCATTGCACTCAAAAATGAAAATGAGCTTGCTGTTGATTGCAGAGGGGCGGGGTTCAAACAAACTAAATGATTAGAGAGATCTGGCATACATCACTAAAGTCTGTCATTTTGACCGGAAGCTCAAGTTTATGCCTGATAGCGTGATAAACACACTGCTCTTTAAGGGTGTGTTCACACTTGGCAGGTTTGGCTTGATTAGAGCAGACTCTGTTTTGATTATTCTGTTAGTGTGGTCCATCTGAATATGTGTGAACGCTGCCATTTAAACTTGGGGAGCACCAAACAAGCAGACTGAGACCCACCATTTCAAACTCTGGTGCAGTTAAACTAAAATATGAACGCAACAGACCAAAGACATCTAAATGAACCAAAAACATTCTCTTCTCCTCATAGGAGCTAAGTTGCCCATTACAGTTCAGCACTAGGGATCAAAACCCCATCTCCTTGCAGGAGATCTTCACTTGTGTGTGCAACTTGTGCTCTTGTGAGTTCTCAACTGGTAAAAATGCCACCATATGTACACACAACATACAATGAGCACATTTAGCCCCATTTTGGATGTTTGGTAGATCCTTTTTTGGTCCAAACCAAAAAAAAAAAAAAAAGAAGAGAGAATCAAAGTGTGAACACACTCTAAATCTGTGGTGACACCTTGCTTTTCCCCACAAAGTGCTCTAGGTTCAATCTGTTTTGACATTTGTATAATTCCACATATTTGTGGCTGTTTACATTACCAACTGTAGCATAATGCAAATGACACACGGGTTATAGTTGTCATTATGTGTCATCAAGTGTGTAGCCATCATAATTTAGTATAGCTTCAGAGATAAACTACTTAGTTTGTTCAAGGGATGACAGAATTTTTACAAACAGTATATGTGACTGCTCCAAGAGAACTTAAAATTCTTTGGTCAACACAAAATATTCTATACAATAAGCTATAAAGAATATTATAATTAAAGAATATAATCATTAAAAAACAACAAACTGTCTAACAAAAAAAGTAAACTGGGTCTTCAATAACTGCCTGAGAGCATGTTGCCTCAGCACACTGACCGAGATTTTATGAAGATAGTCAGAGCGCTTGAATGCCTCCCTCTCAGATACACAAGCAGCTTGTTCTCAGACAGACACACTTATCTTAAGCAGGCGATATCCACTTCACTTCAGCTCACCAAACTGATATACACTGAGCAAACAATAGCTTTCACTAACAATCACTGCTTCCTGTTGGACAGGTCCAGTCTTTCCATACGGAAATCAGCTTGCAAAGAGAAGATCCTGTGGGCTCCTCTTGCGCAAAAAAAAAAAAAAGATTATTAAAGACTTACTGTGCCTTACAGGGACTCCTAAAGGGGACATACAATGTAAAACTTTAAAAGTTTGGCATCAGCAAGATTTTTTTTAATGTTTTTGAAGTAAGTCTCTTATGATCACTAAAGCTACATTTATGTGATCAAAAATACAGCAAAATAGTAACACTGTGAAATATTATTACAATTTAAATTGTTTTCTATTTTAATATATATATAAAGTGTCTTTAACTACTATGTACTTACATTAAAATTTATCAAATGATACAATGCACTTATGTACATGTTTCAAAACATGTTGCATATTCAAAAACACATTTCTGTAATAATTACATCTAATTAATTTCTGTATTTGCCTATAATTACACTGTTGACCATACCCCTACACCTTAACCCACTCTTAAAGTACCCTATATTATGCATTTTCAAATATTACCTTTCATGCAGTGTGTAATGTAGCTGTCTGTGAATGTAAACGATCTGCAAAGTTGTGAAGCCGGCAGTACACAATAAATACATTTATTTATATGACTCTGAACAGCCTAAACGACTCGTCAGTAATTCCAGTCTCAATTCCATGACGGCTATACGTCACGGGGTAACACATTTGCATAATGCCCACCTATGTTCTACTTTGTCGGCCCGCAAACAACTTGACCCGCCCTCAAACACTATAGCATGCGCTGTATGTGGTAGACCAATCACAAAGGACTAGGCCATCTGACCAATAGGTGAAATTAAATGTATATTATGAGAAAACGAAAGTGCTTTTTGATTTGCATTGCATGTAAACCTGTTGTAGGAGACTCCCAAAACTATATTAGGAACCTTAAAAATGGCATAATAGGGGCACTTTAAACCTAACCATACCACCAAACAAATACCTATCCATTATTTATTTTTTTATTATTTTTAACATAAGTACATAGTATAAAGACAACTAATATGTGTGTGTGTGTGTGTGTGTATGTATTTTAATTTTACACTTACTTTGAGAACTTATACTGTTAGTATGTTAGTATACAGTTAGTATAAAGTTTACTGTTAGTATAAAGTTTATTTGCCAAAAACAGTCAATTTTTTTATGATTTTACGACCACATGTTTTGAGTTCAGAAAGTTGCAGACGCTTGCATGGTACATAAGGCTATTTTGAAATGGCCTTTTGACAGTGACATTTGAAATGGCTTCCCTTAACAAATATAAATCATGGGAAAATCTGTCACATCTATTAAGGGACCAATCAGATACAGAAAAAAAAAAAAATTCTTAGAAAAATTAGTTGCCAGCTTGTTTTAATGATCCGTATAGTCCAGAGAAAATGAAGACAATCTTCAGATTCTGCATGGGTGACGGACATTGGCTTGGCAGGCCATTAGACAGATGGAGGAAGAGGTAGTGACTGCTCCCGACTACAGATGAGACCATCTGCACCTGCTTCAGCGATACAGTTCAGTGCCTCTGCAAAAGTGACTCAACTGAACATCACTAGCCGATTAATCAGTCCATTTTGAGTTTATTGCCATCAGCCAATAACTATGTCCACGTGGCCATGTAATGTTTTTTTCCTCCCTCTTTTGATAGAATTTTGACATAAACCTTCAGTCACCCTGATATCTACCAATCAGGTAGGCTACTGATATTGTCCTGTTATTAAAAACACATGGTTTGACCAATACTCATGACATTAATAACATCTTCGCAAATCTCTGGTATGTTGAACTGAACTATTAATTATAATAAACAACTGTAGCGGGCAGTTATGATGGTGTCATACCTGCCCACGAAATTTTCCAGGACAGAGCTTTTGCCTGCGCTCTGACCCCCGACCACCGCGATCTGCGGCAGGTCCAGGTCGCAGGTCTGTCCGATGGCACTGAAGGCGTCCTGCAGGCGGTTCACCAGCGAAATGAGCTCCTCCATCCCCCGGTTGCCCATGGTTACGGAGCCGCGAGGATGCGGCGCGCGATCCACCGGGCTCAGCGGACAATTCTCCTTTGCTATATTAAAAAAATATTAAAATTGAGAGAGACATGCCAACTTCAAATAATAAAGTACCCCCCCCACCGACATACTATTTCAATCAAAAATTGATGCACCACTAAAATAATACTGCGTACCTTAAAAATACAACGTTTTTTTTTCTTTTTCTTTACAAAGTATACGTAAAGAACATACTAACCAGTAACGTTTGTAAATCACAGGCAGTTTAATTACCTGAAATGAGTTCTTCCGAGCGTTTGGTCCTGACCGCGGCAGCTGAGAGTAACGTTAACGGCGCTCGTGTACGGGACTCTGTCGTGAGCAGCAGTGACTGAACTTAAGAGCACACAGCCTATATTCTATACACGAAGAACCGAAAGAAACAAACTTACAAGGCGACATATTAAAGAAACCACAAGCACTATCTCCAGTGGAAGTCGACTGTTTTTTTAACCACTAGTTTGTGCTGAACTCAACTTGTGGTTGTAACCTGACAGCCAACTGTCCGCTCGCTGAGTGCGCTTGCGCGTGCAGACGCCACTCCTCTCATAAGAATCTGGAGGTACAGATTTGGTCCTATTAAAAATTAGCTTTTTTGATTATTATTTAGTGCACACAAATGTATGAGGTACAAAAATAACAAATATCCGAAGTCAGTTGAAAAAGTAAAAAGTGACGTAGCCTTCTAGTGGCCACTGAACGAATTCAACCACAGCAGCAGGTCGACCAGATCTGCATATTAATATGGACAAACGCAAACCTCAAATGCGACTGGTTACTCTTACGGTTAAATTCAGTTCAATAAAAATAAAAACCTTATTGCTTCTATCACTCAATCATTTTAACGTAATTACCTTACTCTGCCGTTATTGCGCGTCGCTCGCTTGTAGCGTAAACACATTGCACGTGCACGACACAAAAATAGCGGAAAACATACTATTGTTATGAAATTACATCAATATAAATTAAATTAGCGTTCTGTAGGACTTTTAAGTTAAGAACAAAAACAGTGACATGGAACACCAAACACAGAAAGATATTACCACCAAAGTAAAAAAAAAAGAAATAAAAAAGTGGTAAACAAAGCTAAATTATATACGTGTATATATATATATATATATATATATATATATAAAAGAGAATTGTT